GTGCAGTGGAGGATGGCCCAAGTGCTTGGGCCCTGCACCCCAATGGAGACCAGGAGAAGCACCTGGCTCCTGCCATCGGATCAGCGCGGTACGCCGGCCGCAGCGCACCAGCCGCAGAGGCCATTAGGGGGTGAACCAACAGAAAAGGAAGACCTTTCTCTCTGTCTCTCTCTCACTGTCCACTCTGCCTGTCGGGGGAAAAAAAAAAACCCTCGGCCCACAAAGTGCTCTTCTCTTTGACAAGAGCGATGAGGGTTTTTTCAGACTCATAAACAAACCATGACAAAGCACATGACATCTCTACACAGTTGCAACTACCTTTTACAGGAGATCCAACTCAGAGAAAGGATAAAGGCTCCTGAACAACAGGAAGAACTCCCAGATGCTGCTCAAGTATTTCCCAGCTGGAGTTTATAACACTATTAAAAAGACACCAATTAGGCTTCCATTTTTGAACAACACAAAGCTAGAGAGCTCCAAATGGTTTTCAAGAAGAGGACTCTCTACTATGAAAGCCCATTCAAAAAAGACCTGAACTGCTCAGTTTCTAAAATCTGAAATGATAGAGAGTTCTTCTTCTATTTTTAAATATTGCTCCATGGGTTGTAGGAATGAGTTAGAACTGCTTCCACACCAGCATTCACACAATTCTCTCTGGTTCTGGAGTGTAGCCAGGCCTTAAGCATTCTCAGCTATTCTCCAAAGACAGGTGTTGGAAACCCTGGGTGATCCCTCCTCTAGGAACTGTCACTTTCCTCCAAGCCGAGTGCACTGCCTTTCACTTCTTGTCACCTGAAACAGGGCAAGTTCTCTTTGCTAGAGTGGTAGCCTCTGGGTACCAGTCCCAGAAAATGCACCTGCTAATATCATTCCATGGAATCCCAATGTTCTCAGCTCAAGTGAAAACCCAGCCATGAAAATGAGGCAAGAAATCCTTGTCCCCCACTGTTATCAATTTTCACTGCATGCAGTTCTTGGGTTTAATTCTCATTGTTCTGCAAGACCAACAGTTGCTCTGCCCTCCAACTCAGCTTTCTCTCAAAGGCTCGGCCTGGGGCTCACACGATCGGCTTTCCTTGCATCTGGCGATCCATATGGTTTATTCCACTTTAGCAAACTCTTGGCCTGTGCTGCCAGCTGGAGTCTCACCGGGGAAGCCAGGACTTAATCCCTCAACCTCGACACCAAAACTCATGCTCCTTCAAATACCTCAGTGGGCCTAATTCCCCATGGCTGGAGGACTGAGACAATAGTCACCAGTCTTGGGATTTATCCTACCCACATGAGACAGCAACTCTTGCCCCTCTTCTTCGTGTTGGGTCAGTTCTCTCAGTGCCACCCCAGGCTCCCAGCAGTCCAGCTCTTTATTTGTTTAAAGAGGTACCTGGCCATAATTAAGTGTTGCTCTAACCATGCTATTTTCTAACCTCATCCTGGACCTAAAACCCATGTCTCCATCCCCCAAACCCCTTACATTCATTAATGTGTTTGTAGAAGACCAATGGAGAGTGTCTCAGAGTATGTGGGGAGAGCCTCTCCTTAACTCAATGTTTTCAACTAAGAAACAAATTCCACGGGTGTGAATGCCTGCAGGTCCAAAGCCTTGTCTTCAGACCAGCCCCCCGAAACCAAAGCTAAGAGGGCAACATTACTCCTGCTCACATACACATTCAACAAAAGCCACAGGGGCCGGCACTGTGGCGTAGCAGGTAGAGTCCCGGCTGCTCCACTTCTGATCCAGCTCTGTGCTACGGCCTGGGAAAGCAGTGGAAGATGGCCTAGGTCCTGGGACCCCTGCATCCATGTGTGAGACCTGGAAGAAGCTTCTAGCTCCTGGCTTCAGATCAGTGCAGCTCCAGCCATTGCGGCCATCTGGGTAATGAACCAGCAGATGGAAGACCTCTCTCACCATCTCTCTGTAATTCTGCCTTTCAAATAAATAAATAAATATTTCTTAGAAAGCCATGGGAAGTATCATCTGACAATAAACTCCCTATCTGCTGAAACATTAAGAGTTGTGCGTTGTGGGAGAACAGTGTTGTGAAACAGTGAGTTAAGCTGCTACTTAGGACACCTGCATGCCCTATCAGAGTACCTGGTTCAAGTCCTGGCTATTCCACTTCCAATCTAGCTTCCTGTCAAGGCTCCTGGGAGGCAGCAGAACACGGCTCAAGTCACACACATGGGAGACTCAAATGGAGTTCCTAGCTCCTGAGTTCAGCCTAGACTAGCCCCAGCTGTTGCAGGTGTTTGGGAGTGAACTAGAGGATGGCAGCTCCTACTCTCTCTGTCTCTGTCTCTCTGTCTCTCTCTCTCATTCTGTCTTCCAAAAAAAAAAAATAATAAATCCTCTAAAAACAGAGTTGGGAAGATAAGATTTATTTATGACAGACTTATTTCTGGGGATATAGTGGAGAAGTGGATGCTTAAAACAATCTCTGCAGTAAATGTCAGATCAACAAAAATTGGTACCAAAGATCCACTTCCATTGAGCTACAAGACCACGACCTGTTTGAATTAAATATGGTTCTGGCTAGTCTGTTAACAACGGGAGAGGACCAAGCCCAGAACCATGGGAAAAGCAAGTACCAGAACAGAAGGGATGTGTTTGGGAGGAAGGGAGTAGCATTATATTCTTAGATTTGTACTTATGAATTATATTTAACCTGCTAAAAAAAAATACTAAACAAGCTAATCGGGAGATGTGTGTGAAGTCTGTCTCAGGTAGTCTACACCAAGATGCAAAAATAATCACAGCCCCCCTCCCAAGACCGGGGCTCTAATTGAATTAGATATAATAAAGGGAAACGAGGTAGGAGGGAAGTCCAGTCAGAGAAGAGGGGAGGCACCCCACAGGAAGGAGGGTATGGAACAACAATCAAGAAAGAAGGGCCGTGGGGAGACAGGAGAAAAATGTTGACATGAACTACATTAAAAGGTTCTGCAAAATAACCAACATTTGTATAGCACTGTACAAAGATTTTAAACCTTATCCACATTATACAGTTGAAGTTCACAAAAAATCTACAAAATAGAGTAAGAAATTTTTTATTACTGTTGGGGGAAAAAACAGCAATAATAAGCCCAAGAAAGTTCAATGATTTGAGTGAAGTAAGGACTTGAGTCTTTAGTCCTCAGAATCCAAAGTCCATCAGTGGGTCCAAAACAATATTCTGAAAGTCACCCAAAATAAAGGTTCATTCCAGGCGGCTCCATTGACATAAAGTCCCACCGAAGGCAAAACAGGTGCTACAGCGTTAGAAACCAGAACACTGCTATGTCCAAGGGCTTGAGATTGATTGTGAACAGGTATAAGGGAATTTCCCGTTTTATCCTTTGAAGAGGGTAAAGTACATGCACACATTTTGTAATGTGCTGCAGCCTGTGACACCAACACCCTATATGGGCAATGGATCAGGACCCAGCAGCTCCACTTCCAATGCAGTTCTCTACCAATGCACCTGGGGAAGCAGCAGAAGATGGCCCAAGGATTTGGGCCCCTGCCACTCACATGCAAGATCCAGATGAAACTCCTGGTTCCTAGCTTTGGCCTGGCCCAGTCCTGTCTGTTGCAGCAATTTGGGAAGTGAACCAGCAGACAGATCTCTCTCCCTCTCTGACTATAACTCTGCCTTTCAAACAAACAAATAAACAACTTCATTTGCTTTTTAAAAAACTACCAGATTATATATTTAGTAGCTATGTGTACATTTCACATCAATAAATCCAAAATCAAGGGGCCAGTCTTGTGGCATAGTGGGTAAAGCTATCGCCTGCAACACTGGCATCCTATATGGGCACTGGTTCATGTCTTGGCTGCTCTACTTTTTTTTTTTTTTTTTTAATTTATTTATTTATTTGAGAGTTAGAGTTATAGAGAGAAGGAGAGACAGAGGAAGATTCTCCAGCTGCTGGTTCACTCCCCAAATGGCTGCAGCAGCCAGAGCTGGGCAGATCCAAAGCCAGGAGCCAGGAGCACCCAGGACATGAACTGGCCCCCATATGGAATCCCGGTGCTGCAGGTAGGCAGAGGCATAGCCTACTACGCCACAGTGTCGGCTCCTGCTCTACTTCTGATCCAGCTCCCTGGTAATGGCCTAGGAAAAGCAGCAGAAGATGGGCCAAGTGCTTGGGCCCCACCACCCACATGGGAGACCCGGATGAAGTTCCTGGCTCTTGGCTTCAGCACTGGCCCAGCACTGGCCATTTGGAGAGTGAACTAGTGGATGGAAGACCTCTCTCTCTTTGTATCTCCCTCTCTCTCTGTAACTCTGCCTTTCAAATAAATATATAAATCTTAAAAATAAAAAGCCAAAATCAAACCCAGAAACAACATTACAGAGATTATTAAATAAATTCAAAATTTGACATCTTGAAGTTTATATTCTTCATCTATAATATTAAGACTCTAGATTATTTTGTGTCTATAATCACTGCACAGAAAACTCTGAATTTTGTTATGATAGCAACACTTTGTGACAAAGCCTAGTTTCAAAACATAAACACTGTAACTGTCAATATTTGAATTTTTCCATGGCCAGAATTAAACATATTCCAAATACCTCAGTGAAGTAGGCCTAGAGAAGAACATCACATGACATGGTTTCAAGATGTTGTAAGTATATAAGAGCCCTGTTTACCCTTGCTACTTGTGGTTCCACAAGCTACATTTGTCTGAGATTAAACAGGAGAAAAAAGTTGCTATTTTGTGACAATTAGGTCCTATCCTTACAATTGCCTACATAATAAGTTTGTTGGAACTGAGTAGCAGTTAATAGATGCCCTTTCTTTATCTAATTTGCAAAACTACTCAGTCCCCACCATTCCCTACTACTCTATCAAGATTCGTTTACCTCATCCAGTTATTTTTTAAATTTCAGCTTCAACTGTGAGATTACATTCAAAATAAAACACTGAAAGTTTTAGGGACAAATTGAATAGTATTCACAATCTTTCTTGAAAAAAAAAAAAAAAAGCAACTGAATATAGGCCATACTCACTCGCAGAGAAGGATTCCATTTTCTAATCCAGTCCGAAAATCTTTGTCACCAAAACTTCTGCCAGTTACTTGCTGGAAAAGAAAAAAGAAAAAGCATATTTTTTTTTCCATTCAAGAAGTTCAATGACTTTTCAAAACATTTACTGTCATTTTTATTTGAAAGCCAGAGAAAAAGAGAAATGCAGAGAGATCTTCTCTCTGCCATTGCACTCTCCAAAGACCCACAAAATCCAGAACTGAGGCAGGCTGAAGCTAGGAGGTGGGTACATCTGGTTCCCGCATGTAGGAGACAGAGACTGAGGTCCTTGGGACATCATCTGCTGCCTCCCAAAATGTGCATCACAGGAAGCTGGACCAGAAACAGAGGAACCAGGGCTTGAACCAGGCACTCTGATATGGGTTGTAGGTATCCCAGAGAGTGCTTCAACTGCTGGGCCAAATGTCTTTCCTGAGTTTTGTTTTTTCTTCTTTTTTGTTTAATATTAAAGAACCTTGAAAAAAACTGATGCCATTCCAAAAATGGGGAAAGTCTGCTAGACCTCAATTTCCGTCCCATGTGCAGCTTTGCCTAGATCAGCTCAAGTTAAATTTAGACCTCTGTTTTGGAGCTTTTCCTCCTAGCTACTACCTTAGACGATATCTGTTCTTCCTGATAAGGAATCCTACTTTTGGAGGTAAGTCAAGGGCACAGCCTCCTTCACCCAGATGATCCAATCTACACACATACACATTAAAAAAAAATACTAAATCGCCGGCGCCACAGCTCAATAGGCTAATCCTCCACCTGCGGCACCAGCACACCGGGTTCTAGTCCCAGTCGGGGTGCCGGATTCTGTCTCAGTTGCCCCTCTTCCAGTCCAGCTCTCTGCTGTGGCCCGGGAGTGCAGTGGAGGATGGCCCAAGTGCTTGGGCCCTGCACCCCATGGGAGACCAGGAGAAGCACCTGGCTCCTGTCTTCAGATCAGCGCAGTGTGCCAGCCATGGCGGCCATTGGAGGGTGAACCAACGGCAAAAGGAAGACCTTTCTGTCTGTCTCTCTCTCTCTCTCACTGTCCACTCTGCCTGTAAAAAAAAAAAAAAAAAAAAAAAACCAAAAAACTAAATCCTGTGAAAAGCATCATCTGGGAATAAAGTCGCTGTTTTTTGAAACATTAAGAGGTTGAAAGAATAGAGAATATATACATTGAGAGACTAACATCCAGATCAGAAAATTAAAGCCACTATCCATAAAAAACATGATGCGAAAAAGAAAATAATTTAAAAGCTGGGAAAGATTAACTGTCAGACAGCACAGGGCTGTTGGCTATTCTCAGTGCTTCTGGCTTTTAGCAACCTCTTTAATAATTTGTTTATTGAGGGGCCGGCACTGTGGCACAGCGAGTTAAAGCCCTGGCCTGAAGCACCGGAATCCCATATGGGCGCCAGTTCAAGACCTGGCTGCTCCACTTCCAATCCAGCTCTCTGGTACTGCCTGGGAAAGCAGTAGAGGATGGCCCAGGTCCTTCGGCCCCTGCACTCACGTGGGAGACCCAGAGGAAACTCCTGGCTCCTGGCTTCAGATTGTCGCAGTTCCAGCTGTTGCAGCTGTTGCAGCCATCTGGGGAGTGAACCAATGGATGGAAGACCTCTCTCTCTCTCTGCCTCTCCTCTCTGTAACTCTGACTTTCAAATAAATAAATAAATCTTTAAAAAATTAATTTGTTTATTGAATAAATATTTATAGTGTACCTACAGGTAAATATCTGTACTATGACCCTAAAGCAAACAGAATATAGCAAGATAAAAAGAAAGGAGATAAAATGAGATCAGAGCAATAAAATAAAAGCAAAAATGGGAAAGGAAACAAAGAACAAAGTGGAATAGAGTGAACAGATTATAGACTTAAACTAACCAGATCAATAATCACATTAAATATAAGTGGTCAAACCCCCCTAATTAAAGGACAGAGACTGTCAGATTGGAAAAGAAAGCAAGACCCAACTAGGTGCCATCTACAAAATGCACTGTATTTAAGTTCATAATTGAGCATAAAGATAGGATTAAGTGTCAAAGGGATCATATAAATAAGACCAGCATCTGCTAATACTAACTGATAGAATTAAAAAGGAGAGAACAACCCAACAGGGGAAGCAGACTCAGAATGGCAAATGCCTTAAACTGCACTCTGACCTCAGAGTCAGCCCTTAAAGGCATTTGGATCCAGCTAAAAAGCCCAAAGATCCTACATGAGGAGTAAGTGCACAGTGACTCCTGTTGTTGACTTAACAAATTGACACTCTTGTTTATGGCATCAGTAATCATCCTAGGCTCTTGTCATGAGCTGCCAAGGCTATGGAAGCCCCCTGAGTTCACCGACTCTGATAATATTAGACAAGGCCATGGTCAAAGTGGAAGTTCTCTCCTCTCTTCAGAGAAATGTACCTCCTTCTTCGATGACCCATTCTTTCCACTGGGATCTCACTCATGGAGATCTTTCATTTAGGTTTTTTTTTTCCCCCAGAGTGTCTTGGCTTTCCATGCCTGAAATACTCTCATGGGCATTTCAGCCGGATCTGCATGCCATAAGGGCTGATTATGAGGCCAGAGTGCTGTTAGGACATTTGCCATTCTATGGGTCTGCTGTGTATCTCACTTCCCATGTTGGATCATTCTCTCCCTTTTTGATTCTATCAGCTAGTATTTGCAGACACTATTCTTGTTTATGTGATCCCTTTGGTTCTTAGTCCTATCATTATGATCAATTGTGAACAGAAATTGATCACTGGGACTAGTGAGATGGCATTGGTACATGCCACCTTGATGGGCTTGAATTCGAATCTTAGCCGGCGCTGCAGCTCACTAGGCTAATCCTCCACCTAGCGGCGCCGGCATACCAGTTTCTAGTCCCGGTCAGGGTGCCGGATTCTGTCCTGGTTGCCCCCCCCTTCCAGGCCAGCTCTCTGCTGTGGCCCGGGAGTGCAGTGGAGGATGGCCCAAGTGCTTGGGTCCTGCACCTGCATGGGAGACCAGGAGAAGCACCTGGCTCCTGCCATCGGATCAGCGCGGTGCGCTGGCCGCGGCGGCCATTGGAGGGTGAACCAACGGCAAAAGGAAGACCTTTCTGTCTGTCTCTCTCTCTCTCACTGTCCTCTCTACTCTGCCTGTCAAAAAAAAAAAAAGAAGAAGAAGAAGAATCTTAATGAAGAATGGGAGTAGGAGATGGGATGGTTTCTGGTAGGAGGGTGGTTACGGTGGCGGGGGGGACCACTATGATCCAAATATATATTTATTAGGCCAGCGCTGCAACTCACTAGGCTAATCCTCCACCTGCGGCGCTGGCACCCCAGGTTCTAGTCCCGGTTGGGGCACCAGATTCTGTCCTGGTTGCTCCTCTTCCAGTCCAGCTCTCTGCTGTGGTCCAGGAAGGCAGTGGAGGATGGCCCAAGTGCTTGGGCCCTGCACCCACGTGTGAGACCAGGAGAAGCACCTGGCTCCTCATTTCGGATCGGATCGGCGCAGTATGCCGGCCGCAACACACCGGCCATAGTGGCCACTTGGGGGGTGAACCAACGGAAAAGGAAGACCTCTCTCTCTCTCTCTGTCTCTCTCTCTCTCTCACTGTCTAACTCTGCCTGTCAAAATATATATACATTTATTAAATAAAATTTTTCTAAAAAAATAAATAAAATGCTTGAAAAAATGCACTGTAAATATAAAGACATAATTGAATTGAAAGGAAGAATAGAATGTGATATACCGTTCTAAGACAAATCACAAGAAAGCTGAAGTGGTTATGTTTATAACAGACAAAGAAGCTTTTAGAACAAAGAATAATAGCAAGGATAGAGAAAATCACTCCATAATGATAAAGGGGTTAACTGAACAGAAAGACATAACAGTCCTACATATTAAAAGTACCTAATAAAAAGCTTCAAAATACACAAGCCTAAACTGAAAGAAGTACAAGGAGAAATAGAACAATCCACAATTAGAGTCAGAGATTTAAATCTCTCTCTTCAACAACTGATTGAACATTTCAGCAGAAACTCAACGATGATATGGAAGACTTGAACACTACCGACAAAATTGACTTAATTGACATTTCTAGAATGTTTTACCCTATAATAGGAAAATGCAAATTTCTTTCTTAAGTTCACAATGAACATTTACCAAGATAAATCAAATGCTGAGGCAGAAAATAAGTCTCAATACACTTAATAGCATTATACAAAGCATGTTATCTGAGGGGCAGGTGGTGTGGTGCAGGAGGCCAAGCTGCCACTTGGGATATCCACATCCCAAACTGGAGATACGCTCTACTTCTGAAACAGATTCCTGCTAATGCATCCTGGGAGACCATGTGTGATGGCCCACTAACTGGGTTCCTGCCTCCCATGTAGGAAACCAAGACAAAGTTCCAGGCTCCAGCTTTGGCGTGTCCCAGCCCTGGCTGTTGTAGGCATTTAGAGAGTAAATCAGCAGAGAGAAGATCTACCTCTCTCTACCTCTCTCTCTCTTTCTCTCTCTCTCTCTCTTCCCCCTCCTCCTCCATCCCCATCTCTCAATCCTTTCAAGTAGATGAAAATAGATAAATAAATAATTCGGATAATAGATAAATAAGTAATTGTTTAAAGTGTGTTACCTCCTGGTCACAATGGAATTAAAACCTAAATTAACAGTAGAAATATCTAAAAATTTTTTTATCTAAGTAACACAATTATAAATTACTCATTGATCAAAAAGGCAATTAGAATGTATTTTGTAGCAAAATTATGGCAATATAAAAATGTATGAGAATAGTAAAGTAGTACTAGGAGGAAATGTGTAGGATAAAACACCTGTATAAGAAAAGATGCTCTCAGATCAAGTAGTTCTGCTTCCAAATCACGCAAATTCGGCCTAATTTAAGTAAAAAGTGCTGAAGACAAGAAAATACTGAAGTCAACAGAGAAAGATCAATAAAACTAAAGTCGTTTCTTTAAAAGTACTAAAAGTGCTGTCTTTAGCCCACTTGATAAGCTCTTAGCTAGTAAAATCGGTAAACTTTAAGAAGACACAGATCACATCAGGAATAATGGAAATGACCTCATTAC